ATAGTCAAGTTGCTTTATATTTCGTTTTATTCGCGATGAATCGATTAGGTTTATAAAAATGTCAATGTTAATGTTTACACCAAAGTTCGAAACCAGTATCTTTAACTTTAAATACTAACGTAATGCCTACTGAATTAATGAGTCCAGATAGTTAATAACATGTTCAACAAGTGTGACGATATTATTAGGAACTTGTTATTCTCAACGGTAAATTATCAATCTAACATTATATAAAAAGTTTTAATGAAGTTACAACATCAAGGCAATCTACTCACGATTCTCATATATGCCAATGGGGAATGAACAATTATTGTAAAGAAACGATGAATTAGTGATTGTTTTATGATCTCTACTTTTACTATAAACTGATTATTGTTATTTAATGATCGATAATTGGAAGTCATACTATACAACCCAATTGGGATAACTTGTCGTGATAAATTTCGTTTTAACTGTATTCCTCAAACAACGACAATACCTACTTAAAAAAATGAAGAAGCTCTGGAGATAACTATGGTTCTAGTTTAGAACTTTCCTGAAGTGAACATGTGCAAACTTATGAAGGATTGAACTTAATAACCTAAACTATCATGATCTATTCAATATTTTTCGGTCGGAATTCAGTGGTAACTAATTTCCGCTTCAATCAGTTAACGTTACAGTGTGATAATTACGTAAAACTAATGAATCAGTTATTGCTTGACTCTCAACATCGTCAAATTCCACCAGTCACAACTTAAAATTGAGAATCGATAGAAGAACTCGTTAATAATGAATACAAAAACTGTCATCGAATTAAACCTATCTACATACACTATCAGCATAAACAATAAACTCAGTCGTCTGGGGGGGGGCAAGAGTACTCCGGAAGGCCATAAGGTTTTGAGTTCGATCCCAGATGGGATCGTTAGTGGATACTAACAAGGATTCCATAATATGAGGAAATAGCAGTATGCTGCTGCTTGATTTCCAATGTTCGTTCAGCCTTATTTATTTAAATACATAGACATTGGTACAAGGAGGCATCAAATATAAATATACGCAACATAAATCATTAGATTTGTGTGGCGGCTGCGATACTGTGGTGAAGGAACACACAGGTGAGGACAACCGGATTATATTTAACACGAAATTACAGAGTTACTTGGTAAAATAGAAAAACCATACTATAATACTTAATTTGCAAAATGTTCAATAATTGTTTCGAACTTCGTTGTTCTTGCATTTTCATACTAATTGATTTCTATTCCCGCTCTCCCTTTCTTCATATTCCCCATCTTCTGCTGCTAGACATTACATTCCTGACTCGCGTCATATACTACTTATATCAATATAAGTAGCACGCACCACAATACTACCAGGGCGCCTAAATCGAGACAGGTGGTTTTCCTAGGGGGCAACTCCACGAGCCTTCGACCTAAAGGTTTAATCCAGATGGCAGTGGGGCAACATCAGGAGATGCAGTCCCATGGTAGTCGGTGGCCAGAAATAGATTCATGCACCTTGTGTTCTTTCAGGATACTGGAGCCTGTAGCAAGCCCATTTGGCTACTGTGTCATTTGTCTATTCATTGTAACTCAGACTCTTAATTCACTATGTTAATTTCGGTGTGTATGATCGAATGCATGTCTGTAGATTAACTCTTAAGCTATTCTCCTATTGGTTGCAATGTGCAGATAATCGATAATTTATCCACACCCGATTAACTCTCAAAAATATATATGGATTTTTAATACACAGACTCACACTTACACTCACTCATTCTGTTTCATCGTGTGCTTGCTCACCGTACGCTTGTGGATTTTTATTAATCATTAACAATAAACTATCTCTATAACTGGTGTTCAGGCTTCTCAATAATCTCGAATAAATCCGTAATTCTACTAGGAGATTAAGCCTACCTTAAATACTCAGTTTACGGGATATTATTTATTGGAGTCAGATATTGAGGACATTAGCCTCAACATATTGGTTAGCCGCCGTTTCAACAAGCCCATGTGCATCATTGGTTTGAAATTAGGGTGTTCCGACTCCCCTAGATGGACTCTCCGTGGAAGAGCTGACTCACTCCACTCTCGGTCGTACCAGGGCATTTTGGGCTAAATTTAGATTGTGCTCAAAAATCACAAAATAAATAATAAATGAATAAACACTAGTCACTAACATAGTGTCTTCGAATTGTAGTGAAAATCCTTCATCGATGTAATTTAATTAATTCGTGAATGAAATAGTAAGCATCAATAGCATTGAATATTAATTGTGTTGTATTGTAGATCGCCTGAATTTCAGTATGTAAGCTGTTAAATGCTACTCACTGGTTTATAGATATCACACATGCGGGAACTTTAGTCGCCTCAATAAAATTAATTGTCCCATCATAACAGTTAGAAACTTGATTATTTGAAGAAGGAATGAATATCATATATTAGTGACTTGAGCTGATCTGATGGAGACGTAAAGGCATAAATCTGAGCAGCAAACACAGCATTCCTAAAAGTGAACATTGTCTACAAATCAGAATAACTCTCAGCCAACAATCAAGTATTGTATGGAGCTGAAATCACACAACTACCACATCCATCATCAGAAAGATACAGGTATTTGAATAGGAAAAAGAGAATTCAGCGAAGAAAATTTTCTTTTCGACGAAATCATTTACTTAAGCTGTACATTCGTATATATAGTTATATGGAAAATGTATGTCTATAGAAGGATAGAAAGGATTGTATCACAAAAAATGGATTCGACAATAAATAACAAATGAGGTTAACGTACTAATCAAGGGGTAAGGAAGAACAAAATTTAAGGGTCAGATAATAGTCCAATTGACAGATTGAATGTACAGCTTAAGTAAATGATTTCGTCGAAAAGAAAATTTTCTTCGCTGAATTCTCTTTTTCTTATTCAATGACACTATGGGTTATTTTAATTATACAGGTATTTATTATAGACATCTGTCTACACAACATATTCCAGATCCGTTCACCGGATACCATCACCAATAACCTATTGTGGGAGAGAACAAACTCGATTTCCACCTACCTGAAGAAGAAATCGGGAAAAGACACTGGAGGTGAATAGGACATATATTGAGGAAATCATCAAACTGCATCACGAGTCAAGCACTAACATGGAATCTTGAAGGGAAACGGAAACACTAAAGAGCACACTACGCCGAGGACTGGAAACATATCAGAAGGATGAATAGCTACTGGACACAAGTGGGAAGGATTCTCCAGAACAGAGTTTTATGGAGAATGCTGATGGGCGACCGATTCTCCACGAGTAATAAGCGTAGGTAATAATAGCAATTTGTACATGCTTTTCATGTTTGACTGCATCATGGTTGCTTACGTTTATTTCTTTGATCTATATATCGAACTCGTATGAATTTAGGATTATTTTTTACTAGCGGGCTACACAACTCGATTTATGTTACTTGCTAAATCAATTTTGTAAAACATTCTATCTATTCATACGATTTATTACGTTTCTAGAAGATTTAGATGTCACGAAATGAAAGGAATCCACTTCATCTTATGATATTCCCTGTTGTTGTTACTCCGCAAACATTTATAGAAAGAATTAATTATATGGAACAATTTACAGTCATCAGGTATATTTAATTTTGAAACGTAAGAGGTGATAAATGAATCAAGTTAGAAATCCTTTAGTAATCTGAAAATTTATCATCACTCTGAGATTCCATAGATGAAATAAACCACCCCAATATCTTTGGATCATCTAAAAATCCCGGGAGTTTTGAGAAAACATTCAGCTGTGTTCAAATATCACTTTGTATTACTCTTCAATACTCAATACAATGAGCTATACATTTCACTAAGAAAGCTTAGACAGCAATCAAATACTAACAATATGGATCTCGGCTGTAAAACTATAATTTAGTTTAACAAGAATGAAAGGATAAGCTGATGATAGTTTTGGCAATTTAACTATATAATTCGTTAATGGAAAATTTCGATTTATAAATTTGCCGAACCTACTTAACAGCCTGAATTACCACGTACATGAAATCCTCGTTGAAGAGCATCTGACTTACCAGATAACATTAAATCCTTATTTCTACGGACAGATTAAGGCAGATAGAGCATAGCACATCAAGGTCCTGTCGATGACTAAGTTTTCATCACGTAGCCGTTAAGTCATTACAAATCGTCAAGATAAAAACGATAGACTTCGACTGGTTTGAACTACACGGGCAACATGCATTTTGATCCAATCAGAATAAATTTAAGAGTGATAAATATGAAAAATATAAATGTAATTCTAAACATCATTTGAAGTTTAACAACAGTTGATGCTGAATGTGTACTATAAGGAAGAACCAATCAGAATTTTTTAAAAAGCCAGTTAGACTACTACGTGAAATCATATCAAACGATTGCTAAAATACCTTCATACATTGATCACTATGTTGAAAAAGATGACCCTAAATTATGCTTTTCCATGATAGAATAGAAGTAATAAGCTTGAACTGCTTAATTATCGCTATTTAGATTGCCTATGACAAAATTGAACATTACCTTTACATCATAACACAAACACTTGATTCATAACCCTAAGAATAAAATATGAAATCCTCAGCCCTAAACAAGAGCAATCCAGTGAATATTTATAAGCCTTTTTATAAGAGTTCGAGAAGATGAATGAAGAATATTTCTATGAACTAATCAATAGGAGGTCGCTTTCGCAATTGACAGATAGGGAAATCTTCAATAGATTGATAAATTTTGTAAAACTTCTCTATACTTGGTAATATAATTGCTGACCTCTTCACAAACTATACATAAACAAAATCTGTATTCTTATTTGTATAAAACACATAAGACTTTGATAAAAATGAAATGCTTTTTTTAAATGATGCACAAACCATTCAAAGTCCGAGTGTTTATGATGAATAACAACGGGAGGAGGTATAAAGTACCTTAAAATCATCGGTTGAGCATTTGAATTGACACCATATTCATTCCAACATTCTCTCAAAAGTTCTTCATTTTGTGGGATATTTTCTGCAATCTTGCATCTACTTCTAAGTACATCCAATAAATGACTTCCACTTGGCATATACAACTCTGTATAAATCGTCTCCAGTATCTTCTTCCAATTCTTACTGTAATCAACATAGTGTTGTTCTCGAGTTCTACCATTCATCTTCAACTGCGGATAATCAAACAATTGACTATTTGGCTCAAAAACACTCAAATAGGTGACCAATCGACCAAATATACTACTCATCTTGTCACTGATTGACGGTCGAGATGATTTCGTCAAATATTCACAGTTAGTGTGATAATAAAATGGATCACTGGATATTTGACGGTACAGCTTCCGCAACTCAATCAATTCATTCAAATCTTCGAAAAACACTATACACACAGATCGCACCATTCGACTGGCAATCTGATGTGCGATTCGTGTACGGATAAATCTAGCTGTCAAGTCCTCGAAACACTGACTGATATCTAGTTTCAGAGGACGCACCAAACCAACATTATTTATAGGTCTGATTGGATGTTCCAAATCACGATGCTTCGTCGCCATGTGAAACACATACAGCTTCGAGACCCAACTACCAGTAATACGCATCGCTTCGATTTTATCATGTTCGTCTGTCAACCCATACCTATCCATTAGATCACTTCTCAGTATAGCACTTGCATAACTGTCTCTCAACAAACCACACGGAGCAAATCTGTTCTCCTGGAAATAATTAACAACAGCAGCAATCATCACTCGAATACATGCATCTGACATCTCAGCATCGATCACATCCATCATTTCATAACTGCTGGCAAAATTGTCAACGGTCCAACGGCCATAGTACCAGGCACCATCTTGACGATTCTCCACTACTCTGTCAGGTGTGAAGATATTTTCGACAGATGTCTCTCCTTCAGAAGTAGTTCGTTCATCTGAATCGCATGACTCAGGCACTTCTGCAAGTAGTCCAGCGAGAATCGCAGCACTGGCAGCATTCGCCAGCCATTTTCGAAGGGGTTTGGAAACCGATTCACCAACATTTTTGTAGACGTATGCGGAGGCCGTTGCGGCAAATTTCACCCAGTCATTCTTAACAGGTATGGTATCGTTTGTGTTAGACTCAGGCATCATACTCTTGTCAAGCATCAGCATGAATCGGGTGTCTAGATCGTATGTTGCAGTGACAGGTGAAATAAAGTTGAAGTCCGCATCTACTTGTCGTAAATGGTCAATTAGAATGCATCCCAAATCATCAGCCAAATTCGATAGTGAGTCCTTTACATCTTCAGTCGCTGCAGCCAAATTCTAAAAAGAAACTTTAAAAAATCCTCATTAGGAATAAAGAGCGAATTGATAGCATTACATTATGAGGTACACGATTTTTTTAAAATTTTATATTTCACAATCATTTATCGGTAACTATTCAACAGATTTACGATCCTGAACCAAGTACTAGCAAAATCGAAATTTCAGCAACTCGGTAGGGATTTTTTTGAATATATAATTGCATATCTATCACAATATCCTTTTTCCAACATTTAAAGAAACAGATTCATTACAAACCTAAAATATTTGAGTCATCTATGATCTAGGATAACTCCTCCTGAAGCTCCATGGGGCTACTGCCGTTCGTCTGCCCGGATAAAGGAAGAGGGTTGGGCAATGGGCTAGCGACCCCGTCCCGTATAAAACACGAACCAAAAAAATAATACAAACCATCTAAACTCTGCCCTGGGAGTCAGGTCTTCATTTAGAAGTTATGACGCCTCATGGTGAAAGTCGAGTTCCTTCGGAAGTCACGAGGCCGATACTCCTTCTGACAACCAGATCAATCATTAATTTAGGTAAATGGAATGCTCGTACAACGTGGGCGACCAGGAGAGTCTTCCGAATTGCTGCAGAAATGAAGAGATACAACATGAATGTGCTTGGAATCAGTGAAACACATTGGACGCAGGTTGGACAACAGCGACAAGTTTCAGAGGAACATCTGTTATACTCCGGCTATGAAGAAGAAAATGCTCCACATGCACAAAGAGCTGCATTTATGCTATCCAAACAAGCACAAAATGTACTTATAGGATAGGAATCTGATGGACCCAAGATCATAAAATCCTCCTTCAAAACAAAGAAAGAGGGTATTACAATGAACGTCATCCAATGCTATGCGCCTACCGACGAATACATTGAAGACGTTAAAGATCAATTCCACGATAGGCTGCAGTCAATCATCGAGAAGTGCTTAACAAATGACTCGACCATTCTGATGGGAGACCTAAATACCAAAGTTGGAATGGAAAACACCGGATAAGAAGATATCATGGGACGACCAACAGTCAGTCAGTCAGCTACAACATAGGACCAGGCACATATATGCATCGGTCCAAGTTGCCATACCTCATTAACACAACAAGATGGACACCGGATTCATAAAAGTAGTTAATTCAGAGGTGGTAATATATAAAAAGAAGATTGTATATAAGGATATAGTACAGGAAGAAAGAATTAGTTCATAGAAAGAAAGATATGAAGTGATTTTAATCTCTTAGTTTAAGGGAAGACAGGGAGTGTATACACCGACGCCATTGTGATCGATTCTGAGCCATGTCACCAAGAGTCTCCAACCATTGGTTACGATAGTCACGCGGACCCCAACCAAGTAGTCTGCATCTACCAACACGGCTCAGACTAGAAGTTAGTGACTTCAAGCACTGATGCCACGTTTTCGTTTGGCCGCCCCTAACTTTCTTCCAACCATCCCCTACACCGGTTAGCATTGCACGTCGTGGTAATCGGTGTTCAGGCATACGTAACACGTGGCCCAACCATCTCAGTCGATGAAGATTCATAACCTCATCAACTGATTTACCATCATTTCCTAATACCCTGCGTCTAACCTCACTATTACTTACCCGGTGATCCCAGCAGACGCCAGCAATATTTCTAAGGCATCTGTGGTCAAATACTAATAGCTTACGAGTGTCTTCTACTCTTAATGGCCATGTTTCGCTGCCGTAAATTAAAACAGAACGGACTGCCGCGCAGTATATTCGTCCTTTTACTGATAGACGGATATCTCGCCTTCGCCATAGGTGACGCAAGTTGGCATAAGCCAAACGAGCTTTTCGAATCCGTGCTGAGATTTCGTCAGACACTAACCCATTAGGGCTGATCAAACGTCCAAGATAAGTGAAGTTGTCAACAAGTTCGACTACTTCACTCCTTATCCTTAGTACAGGTGTTGACGCAGATCAGTCCTGAAGCAACAACTTGCATTTAGAGGGAGAGAAGCTCATTCCAAACATTCTGGTATAGTTGCTTAGTGCCACCAGAAGACTCTTCAATTTATCAGTGTCTTCACCAAACAGGACTATGTCGTCTGCGTATTCCAAGTCGATAAGTGGACCTCCTGGAAGGAGGTCAATACCTGTGAATTCAGTAGACGAGAACGTTATTTCCATCGGTAGGTCTATGATGAAGTTAAACAAAAATGAAGAAAGTGGACAGCCTTCTGGAGCCGATCCATCTGGACCAGCTGCCCGTCCTCGTTTCAGATTAACTATAGCCTTTTGAACTTCTGCTAGAGTTGGGGGACCTACTTCAATGTTCCATTCACACTGTCTGGGAATGGAGGGTAGTTGTAGAGTAGCTGAACTGTTCTCTGAAATGTTCCGCCCATCGTTCTAAACGTCTGGACTGAGAGCAGATGAGGGTGTCGTCTTTTTCGGAAAGTCTGACTTATACTTGATTTATTAATTCCAGTTTCTTTTATTAGTCCGTGTTCCCTTTAGCCGCCGCCTTCTCCATCTCTTTTGCTTTCGCTGACCACCACTGCTCACGTTCGTTCCTTAGACTTTTGCCTAACCTAGATCTGATTTGTTTTCGCTCTTCATTATGTTCAGAGCCTGATGGGATGAGTTTACGAGAATACATCAGTACAATAGACCTTGAGAAAATCCATTGGTTCTTTGTAACCCTGTGGTTTAAATCACTAATAGATGTCACTGCTGTTTCCACAGCTGTTTGTATAGCTTTCCAAGCAACATCTGGGTCAACCTCGTTTTCAGAACTACCTAATTGTGACCTCAGTTGTTCCTGGAACCTACTTTTGGTTTTCTCGCTGCTCAATTCAGTTCTAACTGGTCTTTTTAATATGGCTTTTTTGCGTCTAGTGAGGTAGCCACAACGGTCGGGGGACGACCAACAGCCTGGATTCCGTAAGGATCGATCGTGTACAGAGCAAATCGCAACTCTACGGATCATTGTGGAACAGTCAATTGAATGGAATTCATCACTCTACTTCAACTCCATTGACTATGAGAACGTATTTGATAGCATGGACAGAACAACACTAAGGAGGCTTCTTCGACACTATGGCGTGCCTCAGAAGATAGTCAATATCATACGGAACTCCTACGATGAATTAAACTGCAAAATCGTGCATGCAGAACAGCCCACAGATTTATTCGAAGTAAACGGTGTCAGGCAACGTTGCTTACTCTCACTCATACTCATTCTCCTGGTGATCGAATGGATCATGAAGACGTTAACACCTGTGGGGAAGCATGGGATACAGTGGATGCAGTTGGACGATCCAGATGACCTGGCTCTTCTATCACAAACACAACAACAAATGCAGGAGAAGAAGACCAGTGTAACAGCAGTAGGTCTTAACAAACACAAGGGGAAAAGCACGATTCTCCGATACAACACAACATGCAACAATCGAATCACACTTGACGAAAAAGCTTTGGAAGATATAAAAACCTTTATATATCTGGGCAGCATCGTTGATGAACACGGTGGATCTGATGCAGATATGAAGGCGCGGATCGACAAAGCAAGAGCAACATATCTACAACTGAAGAACATCTTGAACTCAAAACAACTGTCAATCAACACCAAAGTTAGAAGTTTCAATACAGATGTCAAGATAGTTCTACTGTATGGGGCGGAAACTTGGAGAACTACGAAAGCCATCATCCAGAAGATACAAGTGTTTATTAACAGTTGTCTACGCAAAATACTTCGGATCCATTGGCCAGACACTATCAAGACCAAAGGAAAAGAGGAAGACCAAAGAACACATCACGCCGAGAAATGCAGACAGATATGAGAAGAATGAATAACAATAGGATAGAACTAGAAAGGAAGGCCCAGGACAGAATGGTTTAAAGAATGCTGGTCGGTGACCTATGCTGCATTGGGAATAACAAACGTAAGTACGTAAGTAAGGAATCAAGAATCGATGTAAAAACTTAATTGCGCGGATGCAACCGAAAGTTCAAGGGCAAAATGACAATTACACCAAATCCAAATATTGAGTACAATAAACATATTAGGACTTATTTATTATTTATTTTAACACATAGATATTGGTACAAGGAGGCACTAAATATATATGCGCCACACAAATCTCATTCGATATGTGTGAGGGCTGTGATACTGCCCGGGTACCCAACCGAATCAGGTGGTTTTCTCAGGGGGCCACACACCAAGCCTTCTACCTGAAGGTCTGATCCACAAGATAGTGGAGCATCGTAAAGAGATGCAGTCCCATGGAAGCCGGTGACCAACAATTGGTTCATACGCCATTTGTTCTAGCAGGATACTGGAGCCCATGTGCAGCATTGGTTTGGAATACGGTTAAAGAGCCGGACATTCGCTTTTCGTCCTCTGATTTTCGTAAACAACACCCGTGGTGCGAGAAGGCAGTGAGTAGGACTTCCCCGGCAGAGACTATATACGCGTGGGCGTGCGAGAGCGTTTCGAGAGGGAGAGCGGACTCTCCCACTCTCGGCCGTACCAGGGCATCTGGGGGCATATTAGGACTTAGTTTATCTAAGTGAATTTCACAACAATAGTTTATAGTAAGTTAGATAGGTCAAACTTCTCCTGCAACACCAACTGCCTAGATAGTCGGGTAACAAACAGCATTCAAAAATAGTTATAAAGATCTCACCACATAAGTAACATCAATATCCTTAACTCTGTAGATATAGATACATATTTATACGATTCAGTGCGAAAAGACTGATAAACGTTTTTTTTCACTTTGATTATAAATAATCAAGAGGATGTTAAGTGGTAAACTTCATAATTAAAGTTAAATGTGGAATGATAATTATTAACTCATTTATCAAGTACACAACTCAGGCGTGTCAAGTCTAAAGGTATCCACATTATGCAACCTGCAAGTTTTATTGTTGGGAATATACCCCATTCTCGTTCGCCATTTCAATCTTAGACCAAGCGACTAACTAAGATGAACTGGGAATTATTATTTACACTGTCTTAATCTACGATGGAGATCATGTTTCGTTATCTGTAATTTTTTATGGCTTATATGGAAAATGGAACTTTCAACACGAAAATACCACACACTCATGCTACAGATGTGTCAAGTAGAAGGCAGTCAGTCGTCATGAAAGAAAAATCACAACATGGCAAAAGGCATACCTTAAATAATTCTATAATAGAAATTAACCAAAATATCTACAATTGAATGACCAAATAAACGAAAACAAAACCACAATTACTGATTACGATACACATCTAGTTCTATTTGGTGAAGACGCTGACAAAATACAGTCTTCTGACCACTCTAAGCAACAATCCAAGCATGTTCGGCATGCGATTCTCCCCCTCGACATGCAAAATGTTGCTTCAGGATTGGGTTGCATTGACATCCGAACTAATGATAGGGAGTGAAGTGATTGAGTGTCGATCGTTTCATTTATCTTGGAAGTCTCATCAGCCCTTGTGGTCTGGTGTGTGACGAAATTTCAGCACGGATACAGAAGGCTCGATTAGCTTTTGCCAACTTGCGTCATTTATGGCGTAGGCGAGATATCCGTCTATCAACCGAAGGACGGGTTTGCTGTGCAGCAGTTCGTTTTGTCCTACTTTATGGCTGTGAAACATGGCCGGTAAGAGTAGAAGATATTCGTAGGTTACTAGTATTCGATCATAGATGTCTTCGAAACATTGCTCGTATATCCTGGGACCATCGAGTAAGTAGCGCAGTTGTTAGGAAACGGGTACTAGGTAAGGATGGCAAATCGATTGATGAAGTAGTGAAATTTCATCAGTTGACATTGGCTGGGACATGTGTTACGTATGCTCAACCACCAACTGCCCCGACGTGAGATGTCTGATAGTGTAGAAGTAGGTTAGAAGAAAGCCGGGGGTGGCCAGATCAAAACATGGCACAAATCCATGACTGAGTCATGTTGGTAGGTGTAGACTACCTGGTTAGGGACCTTCCTTAGGTTGCACTGTTTCGGGAATTCTTAATTAGCAACTAGTTTGAATACTTACAACCAACATGATAGTTATAGTTCTAGCTAGAGAGAAATAAGGAAAACAACTTGTGGAAGGTTAACTTACTGAATTAATGTCGATCATTCAGTGAAACAGCCATTTATAACTCTGAAGTGAATCAGTTTCATGGTACAATCAATATCACCTACCTTGTTCACTGACATTTTTCGGATAACCGATCAACAAACTGTATGACCAATTATTCACTTACGAAATGTCAACAGCTTGACTATTAACAGTGATGATTGGTTATGTGCTGTGAAGGTCACTCGAACAACATGGTCACAAAAATATTAAGGACCAATAGTAGTAATGTAAATCTGTCTGATGACGATTAAGCCATTGAAAGCATAGTCTCAGGAATTCTTAATTTGCCCTAACAATCTCCAAGTCATTTCTCACCCACTGAGAACAGGGGACATATAGGTCAAAGGCATAGACAGGAATAGTGAAACCTGATTGAGTTTAGTGGTTTTAATGGTTAGTTGGCTAAGTCAATAGAACTATCTAGGATGATAGAAAATGGAGGGTAAAAGCATACACTAATAATCACCCATGAATGTTGAATTATTCCATATAGTGGAAGAACCTGGTTAATTTCATTCTGCTTAAGAATTAAAGATCATGGTAGCATACAAGTTATCCTTCGCTGTAATTTCAACTACATGTAAAATACTTGGAGTGCTTCTTACTTCTGAGTGGTTCACTCAAAGCACTCATTCAAACACACTTACCAAACCAAGCGCAAATGGCTGCAATCTAAAGTTCTCTGGTAGTAACCGGATATGTTTCGATCTTCAATATATAAGGATACATAGTCAAACTCGATTTTAGCTACAACTCCCAGAGATCCAATCAGATTTAAGGTAGGGCCTGTAATATTTTGAGTAAGATTCAGTGAAGGATAGTTTGTAACTAAATTGGATTTACGTGAACAATAAATATATCTGTTCTTAATACACTGGTTATACGTCAGGCGTACTTGATGTGATTGGAAGCATAGATAAGGATGTTAACGGTACTAAGATTTACACCTACTCCAAAGACAACTCACATATCTAACTCTCGTAAGCCGAATAACAAAATGTAACACAATGACATTATAATGATAGCTGCTGTTAAATTGTAATGAAAAATAGCTTAACCTTGACTCACGATAATTTTCTGAAGCCTGATTCCTGAACCTAATCAATTATCGCTCATTATTTATATTGAAACGATACATCACTAGTAATTTGTTACTTTTCATAATAAATCGCATTGTAACTTTACTCTATTTACTGATTGATAAGTCTCTCAAAATCGACTCGATGATATATTTTTACCTCATGTCATTGAATATTGCTAAAGATCCCACATTTATGACAATCGACATGTTACCTTGTAGATAAGTCACTGTGGTGATGAAGTAAATTGATTTTCTGACACCCGATATATTACTGAGCCACCAGAATACAGTTATAGTTCACTTAATCTAAGATGCACACACTGATTACAACACGTTCGAGTAGATTGACAATATGTGTTCTAACCTAACCTAACATAGTAAATTGTTATGGTAATGACGAACGAAACAGAGTTTGACAGAAAATCAACAAATACATTCAGTTACAAGGAAAACAAAGATCACATATTAGTAGATGGACAAGAAAGAATAACGAGTAAAATGTTTTAGTCTGATCGCCACCGACTTTCTTCAACGCACACCTACACCAGTCAACACAGCAAGTTGAAACAACTACAACGAGTTCTCCTAGAAACTTATGTCTCACTGTGTTGAAAGAATATCTTGGCGTGAACACTTGGTCTATGATGACGAATCATAATAATAATGATAATAACTATTATCATTAGTATTATTTGAAGAAAACCTAACTCTTTAAATACATTCTAATCCACTTGAAACTACCTCAGAAAAAAGCTCACTAATTTGTATGGCATGATAAGTTATCCACTAAATTAATCCAACTGCTTAACAGCATAAATCGAAATGTGAAATAAAGAGGATGTTGTCTTTTAGAACAACAATCTAAACTGTTGACATTCAAGTAAGTCACTTGTTTATCCTATTATAGTAGAGTTTCGCATTGATTGATCTCAGGATAGATGACATTAGTCATTTTACTATGATTCTATAAACACACACTCATGATGTGATTTAACTAGTTTGAGTCAGCATTTCTGGATATCAGGAGACCTGAGTTATCATCGTATAATTTAAATGATGTACTTTACAACTAAATTGAATTTGGAAACATTTGCTGAATAACATGTGGATAAGTTCAACTAACAAGTCACAAACGATGAGAACTGTATGTTTTTAATTCTCCAAGTAATTATTGCAATCAGTGGTTCGTACACCATGATAAACAATTGAGATCAATTTCATTTTATTAACTTATCCAATATTCGTTAGTTGAGGAATTGTCTAATTTGCTGAACGACAAAATATTCCCTAGAATTACAGAAGTAAAGCACAACCCAACAATTTGACAGCTACCTTGGAAGGTACAACTATTTTTTCAAAGATCGGCTTGGTTAAAACACATAGCCGAATTCCCATGGTTGCTGATGACATTCTCAAGACCGTTATCATCACTCCCTTCTGTCTGTAGGAGTTTTCACGCATGCATTTCGGCTTAAGAAATACTGCCCAAACCTTCCGAATCTTCATCGATGACGTTTTTCGAGGTGTCAACTGCGTACATGCGTAAGTTGATAACGGCTTGATTGCAAGTCTGGACAGAGAATCTCATGTCCAGCATCTGAACCTTGTCTTCGAACGACTAGAAAAGCACGGCATTACTGTAAACACTCAGAAATGTAAAGTGACTACTTCGTTTAGATTTTCCAATGTTATTATGCATTTTTTTAACTCCATTTCAAAGTGGAATTTACTCACTAATTGTAGCAAGATCATAGTTCCATAAAAAGACGAAACGTTCGTCCAGTGCTTCCAGGTTTTCAATGGTGGTCTTACATTGATCGGTTCATGATCTCAATAAAAACTCAACAATCTTCATTATTGTATACTGAAAACAGTTAAGCCTATAATGACTAATATGTGTAGTGTTAATAAGTATATAGATCACTCGAGATCGTGAGATCACAAATCTGGATTAAAATAAACAATGGAACTTCCCATATTTGTATACAAATGCAGACTGAATAAATACTTGAAAAATGTCTCATTTACTTATCAGAAAGGTCATTTAAAATGGTTGAAACGATTCATTGCAAGGGGTCAAGTTATAATCAATACAATATGATGATGTAAATTGTCTGGTGAACGGAGATAATAATAATGTCATGTGAATATAATACGTAATCAAATAGGTGTTGTCAGGGTGGTGATTCGAAATGATGGAGGAAATTTGCAATTTGAATCTTGTTAAACAGTAAACAATAATGATGTATCAAGTTTACACTCGCCTGACAACAGGTCATAATCACTGAAAATGTAAGATCCATGCTTAAGAAAAACAAAAACCTAAACAACATGTAAACGATTGATCCTTAATAATTTCATGCATAAGTTGTTTAGGGTGAATACTTTGATTTATTAAAGGATTAGCCGTACATAAGTTGCAATCAATCTTTCGTGTTCCAAAACACTGTGGTGGTTAATAAATCCCCAAAATCAATCGCTCTGCAAGTCTTCGACATTTGATGCTGATCACATTAGTTAACCTTTACTTTTTTTTACAAAACATATTTCATTAAGTAAGTGTATGACCATATTATTCAAAATAGATTGTGATAATATATTGCATCATTTTGATAATCTTATCCAGCATACAAATTATACAATTCCACTTCTCTACTTTTCCATCTGTTTGTGATAGCTGATTACAAGTAAAAAAAGTGTCAGGTGGTATGAAAATATACTAATGATTATTTTGATATCCTCTACTGGGACAATTCTAGGGTTACTGCCAGTCCCAAGCCAGTATAAAGGATGAAAATTCTCGTGGACAAGAACTTTGCAAAGAAAAACTAACCAGAAAAATACAATTTTAACCATTTCAGCTCTAACCCAGGTGTTCGAGGGTTTTCATTTATAAGAGTTATGATGCCTCACGGTGAAAGCCGAGGTTCTTAACAAATCACAAGATCGATGGGTGAGACTATAATTTATGGATGACGTTTGAGCAACGCTAACGTGATCCAGAGAACATCCACATTCCCACTGGGCTAAATGAAGTCTATAAACCAATGTAAGGAATAGGGATTATGATTTCTAGTTGATGGTTAGGGTAAGGAATTGGATTTAAGGTTTTCATCACGAACTGACATCAGCTAAAATGCCAAAACTCTATTTAAACAAATGAATGAACAAATTTCGCACTTGTTAACCTAAATCTGATCGGTCCGTCCATAAACTATGGTCTTTCCGGCCGATGCTCCTTCCGACAACACAGTAACAATTAATATAGGTACGTGAAACGACGATGAAGTTCAGTTCCATGAGGCTGCAGTCCATCGTAGAGAAATGACCGGAAGAAGACCTGACTATCCTGATGGTATACCTATACACCAAGGTCGGAGTGAAAAATATGGTGTATGAGAATATCATGGGACGGCATGAATTGGAAAGAGAATGGAAATGGTGAGGCATTTGAAAATCTATGTGCCTTGAGCAACAGGGTTATATGTGGTACCATTGCCTCCACAAATGCATACACAGAGCTACATAGGTTCCACCGGACCACAATACTGAGAACCATATCGACTACATCTACACCAATAAAACGTTCAGTAGGTCCATGAAAGACGTGAGAACAAAGAGAGAAGCCGATCAGATCATCACCTGATGGTAACCAAGATGAAATTGAAGATAAACAAGCACCGGACAACTGGATGGACGGCGCTACAAAAGTTCGATACGGCCTTCCTTTGAGATATGGCCAAGCTGAGCGACTTCGAAATAGATCTCAGTAACAGGTTCCAAGCCTCACAACATCTAGTTTAAGAAGATGAACAACTGGAAAGGGATTAAAGAAACATTAAAGTCAACATGCCAGGAAGTGCCGTGCTGCAAGAAGCACCATTATAAACAGTGAATTTATATTGATACTCTAGAC